ATTGGCTCAGAGTCCTCCCTGGACAACTCAGAGTATTGGCTTGATAAACGCATCAGCCCTGACATTCTTGGAACCAGGCAAATATGAAACCACATAGTTGAATCGTGACAAGAACAGAGCCCCATCTGGCCTGGCGGGGTGTCAATCTCTTGGCCTCCAAAAGATAGGTCAGGTTCTTGTGATCGGTTAAGAATGAGGACCGGAACTATGCGGAACCCTCGAGCAGGTGCCATTCCATTCCTTGGAAGAGCCAGAATGATTGCCAACAACTCCCTATCTTCCAATCTGGTAGTTGCACTCAGCCGAGGAAAGCTTCCTGGAGTATGAACCCGCAGGGAAGTAGGGGTCCATCGGGCGACCGACGCTGAGACAGGAGAGCCCCTACTCCCGTCTCGGAAGCATCAACATTCGAGGACGAAGGGCAACCCAGGATTGGGATGCGAAAGAATCGGAGCCGAAGCAAAGGCAGCTTTCAGAGCCTCGAAAGCTATGATGGCCTCGGATGGCCACATCGTGAGGGTTACTCCCCTTCTTGGTTAGGTCAGACAGAGGTTTCGCCAACGTGGAGAAGTTCCTGATGAACTTCCGATAGTAGTTGGCAAAACCCAGAAAGCGCTGAATGGGCCGAAGACCACTGGGACGAGGCCACTGCAGAACCGCCGCAACCTTCTGAGGGTCCATGGAAAATCCCTCCACGGAAATTATGTAGCCCAAAAAGGCAACTTGGGATCGATGGAACTCGCACTTCTCGAGTTTACAAAAGAGTCCGTTCTCACGTAATCGTTGCAGCACCTGCTTGACATCCTGGGACATGGGACTCCATGGAGGCAGAGTAAACCAAGATGTCATCCAGGTAAACCACAACACACTGCTGCAACAAATCACGAAGGACATCGTTTATGAATTCCTGAAAAAACCGCGGGCGCATTACACAATCCGGAAGGGCATCACCAGGTATTCGTAGTGCCCAGTTCTGGTGTTAAACGCGGGTCTTCCACTCATCCCCCTGTCTGATCCGTACGAGGTTGTACGCCGCCCTAAGGTCGAGTTTGGTTAAAGACTGTTGCTCCCTTAAGGCGGTCGAACAACTCAGAAATCAAAGGAATTGGATATGCATTTTTAATGGTAATTCGATTGAGACCCCTATAATCGATGCAGGGCCTCAATTCCTCACCTTTCTTCTTTACGGAAAAAAAACCGCTCCTGCTGGGGAAGTAGACTTACGAATTTGCCCCCCGGGAAAGCGCATCCACAACGTACTCCTCCATGGCCTTATTCTCCGCAACCGAGAGAGGGTACACCCTGCCACGTGGAGGAGTGGCCCCGGGTTGCAAGGATATGGCGCAGTCGTAAGGACGATGCGGTGGTAAGGTACCAGCACGTACCTTATCAAACACGTCCCGGTACTACTCCCCATAGTCGGTGGGCAACGCAGAGTCCGAGGAGGCACACAATTACCTTAACCGGCCCCCGGATGCACCCGGCCCCACACTGTGGAGACCATAAGAGAATCTCGGGCTGTTTTGCCAATTGAAGGTTGGATTGTGCCTCTGGAGCCAGGGATACCCCAAAACCACCGAATAGTGTGGGGAAGAAATCACCTGAAAACAGGCCAACTCCCTGTGAACAGCCCCAATGGCTACCTCTATTGGCAGAGTCTCGTGGTAACCTGCGGCGGTTGCAGGGGCCTGCCATCTATTGCTTCGAGAACCAATGGGCAGCACGAGCCTGCAGGGGAATGGGATGCTGTGCAGCAAACGAGCTGTCCAAGAACAATCCACCGGCCCCAGAGTCTACCAAAGCCTGGGCCGTCACCGAGCCCTCCGTCCAAGAAAGGACCACGGTGATCAGTGGCTTATCCTTGCGGAACCCGGGGACGAGGAAACTCCACCCAAGATCTGTCCCCGACATGATCTCAGGTGCGAGCGTTTCCCGGACGGACCGGACAAGACTGCCGAAAGTGACCACCGAGGCCACAGTACAGGCAGCGACCCTCCTGACGCCAAGCGGCCCGCTCCCCCTCGGAAAGGCGAGCAAACCCCAGCTGCATGGGTTCCCCACCAGACAAGCTATCCCCAGGAGGCGTGGGAGGAGAGGGAGGAACAGGTGGGACAGAAAACGCAGGTGCCAGTCGATTGGAAGGCCTCCGCAGGCGTTCCTTGAGTGAAGGCCTCTCCCTGAGCCTGGCGTCAATCAGGATCAGGAAAGAGATGAGCTCCTCCAGCACCACAGGCAGTTCCTTAGCTGCAATCTCGTCCTTCAATGTGTCAGAAAGACCATGGGAAAACGCAGCCACCAGAGCCTCATTGTTCCAACCGACCTCTGCCGCCAGGGTACGAAACTCTATAGCGTACTCGGCCACGGTCCGTGAACCCTGATGCATGGTCATGAGCAGCTTGGCCGCCGAGGCGGAACGAGCCGGTACGTCGAATACCCTACGGAAGGCATTGACAAAACTGGAAAAATCTTGAATCACCGGGTCGTTCCTCTCCCATAAGGATTTGCCCAGGCCAAGGCCTTGTCTGAGAGTAGTGAAATTAGGGAACCCAACCTTTGACCTCTCAGACGGGAAGGCGTGGGGTATTAATTCAAAATAAATACCCACCTGGTTGAGGAACCCACGACACTGACTCGGCTCACCCCCAAAGCGCTGTGGAAGAGGGGCAGAACCAGTCATACCTCTGGGCGCCGCTGATGCAGCCGTCGAGGTGGTGGGACGCAATAGGCGGAGAAGCTGCGGGAGAGACCACCGGAGCGACTACCGGCCTAATAGCACCAGGAGCAAGGTGTGCAGTGCGTGCAAGCAGAGTTTGCAACGCCTGAGCGAACTGATCCAACAGGTGATCCTGTTGATCCAGTCTGGTGACTAGCGTTGGGAGCGAAGGCGTGCCTGCACCGTCAGGGTTCATGGCACTTGTGTAATGTCAGGGCAGGAGCTGAGGAACGGACAGGCAGGCCTAACAATGTAACGCACTGGCAGACGACAACCACCACCCACAGACCGAAGTTCCTCAGGGCGCGGAGTCTAAGTCCCAGGCTGCCCTTCACCAGGGCCCCTGATGGTGGGGATGGACTTGACGCAGCCAGGAACCAGGTCGCGCCCCTGAGACACCTCAGCTGCGGTAATGGCCGCCGCCAATGGCGTGTAACTGGTGGAAGAGACAAAAGAGTAGTCAGACAAGCCGGGGTCAACAACAACAGGACAAAACGGTACAGGACAGCAGACGAGAATCACAGGTCACGAGCCGGGTTCAGCAACAGAGGGTCAGATCAAAGGAGAATACAAAGAATAGTCAAGTCACAAGCCGAATCAGATACCAGGAGAGTCACGAGAGTCAGAACAGAGTAATAGCAACACAAAGACACAAGACACAAGTGCAAAGAGCATGTGCGGGCCACAGGCTTATATGTCATCAGCCACACCCCTCTGGGGGATGGACCACAGAAACCTGAAGGCATAAAAGGGTTCCCATCATGCACAGCAGAATCCAAGATGGACGCCAGCACATGGAGTAACATAACCTCAGGGAAAAGGTAGGACCTTGACAGTAACTGACTACCAACCCTGACTTTCATTGGGGGTGTATTCATTTTTGCAACATGTTCTTGAATGCATTTTAGGAAAAATACTTTTTTGCGTGTGCAAATTAACAAATCTTGTTTGCAACCAATGGCTCGCATTTGTGGGAGTATTTTGTAGTATAGTGTCCCATAGAAAATGTTGATTCTGAAAGTAAAGATTTTCTGACAAATCTGTTGGGGTGTACTCATTTATGCTGAGCACTGTATACCGTATTTTTCGCTCCATAAGACGCACCTAGGTTTTAGAGGAGGAAAACAAGAAAAAAAATATTCTGAACCAATGGACTGCAGACATAGTACAGGAAATGACCAGAGACTGCAGACATAGTACAGGAGATGACCAGAGACTGCAGACATAGTACAGGAGATGACCAAAGATTGCGGACATACTACATGAAATGACCAGAGACTGCGGACATAGTACAGGAGATGACCAGAGACTGAGGACATGGTACAGGAGATCAAAAACAAAAACAAACAAGGGCGCACTTCCATCGTGCATTAACGTGGTACACCACGTATTTATTGAAAAATTATAGATAAATACTCACAAACCAAAAGGGATAAAAACAGAACAGGTGATCCGTAAGGACAGTCCAATGGATTCAAACACCTTGTAAGGGATACTAACGCGTTTCGGGAGATGAACCCCCCTTCCTCAGAGCTCTGTCCAGTCCATTGGACTGTCCTTACGGATCACCTGTTTTGTTTTTATCCCTTTTGGTTTGTGAGTATTTATCTATAATTTTTTTTCAATAAATACATGGTGTACCACGTTAATGCACGATGGGAGTGTGCCCTTGTTTGTTTTTGTTCACCATCACCTAGATTTCCCGATCTCTGAAGGGCTGCACCTCAACGTTTGGCATTCAGAATCTCCTTTAGTCTGCATGAAGATTTGAGCGCTGGGTTTGTTTTGTTCTTTTGGATGCATAGTACAGGAGATGACCAGAGACTGCGGTCATAGTACAGAGATGACCAGAGACTGCGGACATAATACAGGAGATAACCAGAGACTGTGGACATAGTACAGGAGATGACCAGAGACTACGGACATAGTACAGGAGATGACCAGAGACTGCGGTCATAGTACAGGAGATGACCAGAGACTGCGGACATAATACAGGAGATAGCCAGAGACTGCGGACATACTACAGGAGATAGCCAGAGACTGCGGACATACTACAGGAGATAACCAGAGACTGCGGACATAGTACAGGAGATGACCAGAGACTGCGTACATAATACAGGAGATAACCAGAGACTGCGGACATAGTACAGGAGATGACCAGAGACTGCGGACATAATACAGGAGATGACCAGAGACTGGGGACATAATACAGGAGATAACCAGAGACTGCGGACATAATACAGGAGATAACCAGAGACTGTGGACATACTACAGGAGATAACCAGAGACTGCGGACATAATACAGGAGATAACCAGAGACTGCGGACATACTACAGGAGATAACCAGAGACTGCGGACATAGTACAGGAGATAACCAGAGACTGCGGTCATAGTACAGGAGATGACCAGAGACTGCGGACATAATACAGGAGATAACCAGAGACTGCGGACATACTACAGGAGATAACCAGAGACTGCGGACATAGTACAGGAGATGACCAGAGACTGCGGACACAGTACAGGAGATGACCAGAGACTGCGGACACGGACATACTACAGGAGATGTCCAGAGACTACAGACATAGTACAGGAGATTACCTGAGACTGCAGACCTTTGGGGAGCAGAAGGGGTGGCGGGTACTCGAATTTGACAGGTACTCGCTCCCACTTCCGCAGAGTTGTCCTCCCTCCCCATCTTCTGGGACACGTGACAAGTCCCAAAAGACTGCCAGAGATGGAATGAAGATTTTTCACTACTTACCACAGAAACCAGGGGACTGGTTTATACTTTCATGGACTGTTTGTGATTTGCTTTTTATTCATGTTTACCTTTGAGCACTATTTTTTTATGTAGCATTGAATGTACATCACTAATATATTTGTTTACAATTGATGGTTTACACTTAGCGCAAACACAAATTTATATTTGATGTGCTTTGCTATGCCTTTAAATGGGTCCACCCAGAGCAGCGGTGATCATTCAAGCTATAACCACTCACTAAGTGTGCAAGGATGATACCTCATAAAAGTATAAACAGGCCACCATAGTGCAATAAAATTCAAAACAAACTTAACTTTAATAAGGCAAAAGCACTCACATAGTAAAAAATATATTGTGCAATGTAAGTCTCACAAATCTCCAAAATAGCCTCGACGTCTAGCATGATGATGTCTGCCGTCACTCATCCCATCCTAAGCATTTTGACATAAAAATACATCAACAAGGGTGTGGCCACCTATTGTCACTATGCTATAAATAGCCAATACAGCTGAAACTTAAGAAACTTAAGAAATTGCGTTCCAGCCGTCCTAAGTGTAAAGAGCGCCATGTACAACACATCTTGCACTCCACCAACCGGAAGCCAGAAATCGCAAGTGAATTTGGCAGCGCACACAATCCAATGAAGGAAGCAGGCACTGCAAAACCATCAGCCAAGACATTCAAACAAACATATGGGCTACACAATACAATCACAAGCAGTTTATAGCGCCACCTTGTGGGGGAATAAATAACATTTGTTCATAATAAAATACATAGCGACCAATATATAAGAATAAAAATATATATCAAAATACATAAATTCATAACATGTAAGAAACCCTCACAGAATAAAGGTTAAAACCTAAAAAGTTGTACAACAAACAAACTATTATTTATAAAACAATTAATGTCCCATTCTATATTAAATCCATGTGGGACAAATGACTTAAGGTCATAAATCCATTGGGTTTCCAGCCTAACAATCTCCTTACAGATATGACTGCCTCTCTAATTAGATGAAAATGTATCTATAACCAAAAAGGAGATACCTTCCGTATTTGTACCATAAAATGAAGCATAGTGCTTTGATACACTATGTCCTGGAAATCCCCTATGAATATTGGCTATATGCTCCCCTAATCTTACATTTAATGGTTTCACAGTACGAACAAAATACTGTAAGCCACAGGAACAGCAAATCAAATAGACTACATTGGTGGTTGTACAGTTGATAGAAGACTTAATCTCATAAGATTTTGATGTTACATTAGACCGGAAACTGCAAAAATGTCTTTGCTGTAAATGATTCAATTTACATACACTACATTTCTGACAAGGAAAATAATTCTTAAGATCATGGAAGGATGGTTTCTTGGGATGATCAATGACATTGGGAGCAACCTGTAATCTCAAAGGTGGCACCACCCGGTAAGCTACTGAAGGGTTTTCTGGAATACAAGGTGTCAATACCTTATTGTTCCTCATGACTGCCCAATGTAGCCGAATATTCTTTTGATTCTTCCAACAGAGAACATTTTTGCCTGATTCCGATAACTTGGCTTTTGGGGACAGATTTAAGCCATGAGGGGTGATGGCAACTGCCCGCCTATAAAACTATTTCAGTCTGTATCCTTAACTACTTCCCGCCCAGCCTATAGTAATATGACAGCCAGGCGAACCTTTCGTCCCTCCAGGAGGGCGTCATATATTGTCCTTCCTGGATCAAGCTTTGCGCGTGCCCGCAGGGCCGCACTGTGGCGAGATCTGTCACCAGCTGTGTACCTCGGACACGGCTGATGAAATATCTGTGTGCTGGCCTGTTGCCAGTACCATGTGACCTGCTGTGACCAATCACAGCAGGTCACATGACAGTTGTATATAATGGATGGCTTCTTTTCATGCCATCCATTGTATACAAGTGTGTCTAGCTGTGAATGGTCAAAGTGATCACATGCACAGGCTGGGCCAATCACAGCCCATCTGTGTCATGTGATTAGCTGTGGCCAATCACAGTTAATCACACAAAAAAAACCTGAAGGAATCGATTTCATTCAGTTAAATGCTTGCTTATGGCAAAGAAATTCTTTGCTATAAGCAATCAAATTGTGTAAAAAAAAAAAAAAAAAAGAACATACTGAAAACTTCCCCAAAGTAATACAATGTTACTATGGTAGCATTATACTACTTTGGTAATAGTGTGATATGAAAACAAAATCTTGAAAAAAGAGAAAAAAATGTAAATAAAAAAGTTGAAAAAAATTATCTTTTTTTTTTTTCGTACTGTCACCAGTCAGTGTCCCTGATTTCATTCAGTTAAATGTTTGCTTATGGCGAAGAAATCCTTTGCTATAAGCAATCAAATTGTGTAAAAAAAAAAAAAGAACATACTGATAACTTCCCCAAAGTAATACAATGTTACTATGGTAGCATTATACTACTTTGGTAATAGTGTAATATGAAAACAAAATCTTGAAAAAAGAGAAAAAAATGTAATAAAAAAATTGAAAAAAATTATCTTTTTTTTTTTTTTCGTACTGTCACCAGTCAGTGTCCCTGATTTCATTCAGTTAAATGTTTGCTTATGGCGAAGAAATCCTTTGCTATAAGCAATCAAATTGTGTAAAAAAAAAAAAGAACATACTGATAACTTCCCCAAAGTAATACAATGTTACTATGGTAACATTATACTACTTTGGTATTAGTGTAATATAAAAAAATCTTAAAAAAAGAGAAAAAAATTTAATAAAACAAATTGAAAAAAATGATCTTTTTTTTTTTTTTTTTCGTACTGTCACCAGTCAGTGTCCCTGATCACTGCCAAACCAATTATATGTTGATGCTGTACTGCACTGGTGACAGTATACAAAAAAAAATTGTGAAATAATTTTTTAATTTGTTCACTTTCTAAAACATTATGACAAAAATATTAAAACTTCAAAAAACTCGCCATGCCTCCTATGAAATACGTTGGACTGTCTACTTTGGAATAAGGGGTCATATTTGTACTGTTCTGACATTTTTGGGCCTTAAGAAATTAGATTGGCCATTAGTACTTTGGGATTGATCATTTTTCAGATATATACCGTAGTTTGTGAACTCTATAACTTTCCTACAGAGTAAATAATAAATACTGATTTGGGTTATTTAAACCAAAGCAGTGACTGTCAGTCAACGCTCTCTCTGCGCTTCCCCCTCTGCACTCACTGGAGCACTGGGCTGTGGAGGGGAAGGGAGCAGCTAGCTCAGGCTCTCAGTGGCTTGCTGAGACTTTGGGGTTGATCCTGACTTTATCAGGTTTGTTCCTCAGTCTGGATCAGCTGAGTGATGTCAGCTGAAAACGGGTCACAGGAGTGCAGAACAGAGTAGAAGTACAGCCAAAAGAGCTTCACCTTTAAAGCCTAAGTTTAGCTAAAAAAAAAAAAAAAGACTCAGCACAAGGAACATAATTTAGAGTTTGTATGAGCTGACCCTTGTCTATATTCTTCTTCTTTTAGTAGAACTCCCCCACACCCCTGCCGCAGTCAACCTCTGGTGCAGTGGGTGTTAATACAACCGGTGAGCTGGCAGAAGCTCTCATCAAGAGAGTTCAACTATGCTCAACTTTTCCTGCCCAATCCGCCATTCATAAAGGCCAAACTACAGCTTTTATGAATGACTTAGGATCTGTGAATAGAAGGAGCAGAACTATCAATCATTCCGCTGTCCCCATTCATAAATCGTATTCCATTCATTGAAGCTGTAGTATGGCTTTTATGAATAGCGGAAAGGGATGGAAAGGGTGGGCACAGTCGAGCTGTCTTGATTAGAGCTTCTGACTGTTTACTGGTTGTATTAATCCCCACAGCACCAGAAGGTCGCAGTGGGGGAGAGGGGTATGACACAGCAAGATTTCTACTGGAAGCAAAAGAATCTGGACAAGGGACACATCAAACTAAATGTAAGTTATGTCCCTTGGGGACATAACTTTTTTTCTTTTTAGTTTCAGCTATACTTAGACTTTAAACCTGTTAAATGTAACTATGATAATCTAATGTTTGGGGCTACCTTACCTTTCTGGAACAGAAAATTTGGTAAAGTATTGGTACTTGAATTAGTGCTGATGGTAGCAGAATAAACACACCTTTTACACTGCAAACCTAGAGAAGCATGTTTATAAATTGATATAATTCTCTATAAGATGATCGATTTGAATGAAACAATCACGTTTAACGATCGCTTGATTATGAGTTTTACAGCAACAGGGTTTGACATCTCCCAAGCATTTAAAGTATAAATGTGTGCACTTTCAAACTTTCTTTCTTGTAATTGGAGTTACTATTATTAGTCAAAATAACAGTGAGCGACCTGAAATGCCCTTGTAACTTTATACCATAGAGATTTCCTTTAACAGTTAACTCTGTCTGCCTCCAGTAAGTGTTTTGTCTGGGAAGTGTTCCAGATTTTAATTATTGTGCTCACATTGCAACAAGGCATTATTTTTTTGGCTTTTCCCCTAACACAAATCAAACTCATATTCCTTGAAAGGAGAATTATTAGCTATCACTGTAACTATGATGGGTATTTCCTAATACTATTTAAAATGTTATGTGCAGTTACTTTTCTATAAATTAACTTTTGTCTTGTATGCAGCCTTTACTTGGATGAATGTAATTATTCTGAATAATTATTTGAATATAGGGAGATAAACATATTTAGTTTCTTCCATTAAAAATATATTTTCAGTATTGATGCACTGCTCCCACTACTATTTTGAGTTTCAAAATGTGCAGTTTAAGCTGGCCATAGATGGATCATAAGTTAGCAGGTTCAGCAAGGACCAGCTGAATTTTGATCCATCTATGGCCATTCCCACTTGATAGAAGCTGATCTAATGATTGGCTTTTCTCAGACGGGAATGTTGTGGACATTTTTCATTAAATCAGCCCATGCAGCCAATCAGCTGCAGCACTGATCAGTGTATTTTGAGGAGGACGC